AAATTCTATCAATGGTTCTTGAGATATTTTGCTAACACTACAAACAATGACACACAGACCTGGGCAAACATTGACGCCTTTTTTCAAACAAAACTTCACGACCTGTTGTGAAATCAGAAAGTTTCATCCGTGCGTTCGTTCGTGTTTTAGGCAGAAGCATGGATCAAAAGCAAACTGCAAGACCTGAAGGATGGGTGGAGTATTCAGTACTGTCCCCAGCAGGACTGGGAGGAAGCTTTACAGACGCTTCAGAGAGACCTGAAGGACTTTGAGAACACCTTGATTCAGCTCAACCAGGTAACAAAATGATTCGCGTACGATGGTCTCAATGCAACATCAGTCCTGGTGTTCGTGGCCAAAAATCTGTCAGATCACAAAACATGCAACGGTAGACATACGGAAGAAACCCCAAAGAAATGTTTGGAGATCTAACGCTAGTCACCGCTAACCCTCCGTAACTCTCAGCTGGTCCGTTTTACTGGTCTTGCTGAACCGTGTGCCGCAGCTCAAACATTGTCTTGTGTTTGTAAAGACGGGCGAGCAGTTGGTGTGCAGACTCAACCCCACGTCTGACCTGGTGAGGAAGCAGCTCTTCCAGCTCCGGGACCAGTGGCAGACCCTCAAACAGACGGCGGCCAGCCAGACGCGTGTTCTGGGCGGAGCCAGGAGCCCGCAAGAGTTCAACACAAAAGTGGACAAGCTGGAGGCGTGGATCAAAGAGAAGGTAAAATAAAAAAAATTAAAAAATTACTCTCCCCCCACCCCCGATAATTAATGTCAAACAGATACTTCGTTCATACCTGATACACACAGTGTTGATACCTAGTACTTACTATGTACATACTGAGTACTGTTTGTACTTGATACTTACTGGGCATGTACCAGAGTTTTATGTGGTACTTACTGAGTACCTACCTTGTACTTTCCTTACAGAATAAGGACCAGGTACTTATATTTGTACCTAGAACTTACCAGATACATACATAATACTTACAGGGTATGTGCCTGGTACTTTCAAGGGTATGCACCATTAGTGACCAGCTATGTTCCAGGCTTACTCGGTATGTATCTGGTACTTACTGGGTGTGTACCAAGTATGTACCTCATAGGTATACCAATTAAACCTGTTACCTACTGGATATCTGATACTTACTGGCTAAATATCTAAAACTTGGTGAATACTTAATTAATATTCAAGGATTCAAGTATTCAAGCTTCTTTATTGTCATTTGCATCGCATGTCGTGCATGAGGTGGAACGAAACTGTGTACACAGGGTCCCAGTTACATCCAGCAATAGCAAAAATATAAAGTGTAAAAAGAAACAGTAAATAAGGATCTAAGATATAAACTAAGAT